AGATACATTGCAGTACCAAGTAAACTTTTTTTGGGGGGGGGGGGGGGGTTAACAGCCTTGCCACGAGCTTTAGAATTTATATACGAAGCGATTTAAAATTTGAGCGATAATTTCAGTAGAATTTTTAAAACATTAAAAAACTATAGAATAATCAGCATTATAAGTAATTTTACCATTAAGTTTAAAAATTTATTTTTAAATCAATTACAGCGAACGCTCTATAGAAGTAACCTCTCTATAAGCAACAAGCAACTTTTTTTAGTTCAACTGTTTTGTATATGCAATTTATTTTTTGAAAGTTAAATATTTCACTTAGGTTTAGGCCAAATCTGAAGTAAAATCCACGACAACATTTTAAAAAATTCTCATTTTATGATTGTAATTTAGTAGATACTGAAATTCCTGAAGTGAAAGTGAAACTACTTTTGTTGAAGAAAATGAAAAATGTTATAAATTCTTTTAATTTTTTGATAGAATCGGCAAAAGAAAAGGACGAACTCGGCAATGAGGTCCTTTTGTAATAAAGACTAAGAGAAAAAGCTGTCATGAACAAATATACGTAATTGTTAGATTGTAAGATTTATTAAAATTTGGTTGTCATTTTTTTAAATATAATTAATAACGCTTATATGATAATAATAATAATGATAATGATAATAATAATAAAAAAAATGATTCAAGCAATATCCAGAAATATTATATATTCAGCATACATTACACAGAATTTTCGAATGTAATTAACAGGATGGACGCCAAATTTTTTAAAACTATTTATAAAACTGGTAAGCTTTGGTTGTAGCAGGAGCATGTTAAATTTGATGAATTGTACCTATCCTACGCATGATCTAATTAGACGACAGCAATTTAACTATTTCTATATTTCAAATTAATATTATTAGGACAATCGTCGTAAGATAAGCCGGTATATATGTATATCTTACGATTTCTGTAATAACATTAGTAACATTGCATTCATATTGATATTATAAATGATTCTTGCCTGTTTAGTTAGTTGAATTTTTTTCTGTGGCCAGATAATTCAGTTTATTTAGTTGATTTTGACATTACCTTTTTTTTATTTAAAACGACTATTATAGCAAATCAAATTTCAACAAATGTTATAAATTGTTTAAGACAGGATAAAGAGTTTTATGTTCAACGCTGTGACCACCGGCCTTATTAAAATACCAGTTAATAATTTTTTTATAAAAAGAAATGTGTAAAAAGTTAACTCTAAATGTCTGATATTTCTGATCCAATACTGCGCAAATAAAGCATCGATGTGTGAATACAAATCTAGGAGATGCTAAATCAACGCATTTTATACTTTAACCCCACATGAAACAAATTCTTTCAGTGTACTTATTGGTTGACAATAATAATTATTTAATTATTAAAAATAGGTGCTTTTTTCTTATACTTCCTATACACATTGTCTTCCAAAACTTTCTGCTAGATTATATCTGCAACTTTATCCAATCATTATGTAGCAAACTAATGAGACGAAACCCATAAAAATAATTACTGTTTTTTATGGCTACGTAATCATCATCAAGTAAAATGTTTAAATTAGAATCAAATCAAATCTCGTGTGAGTGATTGCGATCAGTTTATGTTATTTTTGCAGAATTTCCCTAATTGATTACTTGGATTATTAGATTTCATCTAAGAATTTACTTGATCTAATGTTATCAAAGAACTGCTCGGTTGCGAAGATAAAGCGATCCAACTGTATATCGAATTGAAATCGTTGCCCCCGTAAATCTCCCCGTTGGCTCCATTATATATTTATGTTCATTACCGGGGATGTTACTGGCTGCACTTTGTCAGCGCCGCTTCCGCTACTTCGTTTCGTCAGATGTGAGAGATTGCGTTCTCAAATATCTCACGTCTGCCGCTAAACAAAAGTGTATGTAAAGAATGTAATTAGAAGTAAAGAAAGCGCAGTTAAACCTTATTACCGAGTAACATTTCGTACGCCATCGCTGTTTACGATCGCCATTGACGACGGCCAGATTGTAATCTAGTACGTACCACATGCCACTGGCATCGAGGACTAACTGAACAACTTCACAGAAATGTCAACAAACTCATTGAAAAACATATTCGCTCGGAATTGCTAACACGATCGCTGAAGTGAGGAGCTTCTGTTTTATACACACGATCGCGGGGATATTCTTTACGATTCTAGACAGGCATGCCGAGAGACAACGTAAAGAGAGAGAGAAGAAACAGCCCAAGGTGTAGAGAAAAATCGCATGCATAGATAGGGAAATATAACAAGTAAGATATAAGCACAAGTCCCCATAATTTTCCTCGAAATATTTTTACTGTGATCATATTTTAGTCGTAGCAAGATTAATGGCCATAGATTCGTAGCGAATAAGGGCAGTTGCATAGTTCGTTAGTTACCCCCACAAAACTTCCTGATTTATACGTTTTATGACGGAAGCGGAAAATTACTAACAAGGGGGATGAATTGCTGATATGGTATCTCGCGTGTCGGATATGTTTGAATCTCGGATTGCGCGGCCATAAATATAGCAAGGACGTTATTCGGATCGGTTCTATATTTAAGTAATTTCAATTACTAGAGTTCGAAGTAAATAGGAATAGAACTTAAAATAAAGTCATATTTAACCCTTCTGCTATTCAAATATTTTTGATATTTGCAAAACAATTTTTTAGCGAAAGGAATTGTCTCTTCTTGACTAGTTCAATGCTATAATGTTTTTTGTCTTGAATTATTATAATTTGGGAGCCATGTTTAGGAATAAATCTAACCTAAATAGTTAACCTTTAATAAAATCATATAACATATAACCTTAAATGATTTAACCCATATTATCCCAAGCATAAAACAAATTAAAAAATACTTTTTTGCTCTGAAAAGAATACATTACATGTGTCAAAACAAAATAAAAACTCGAAATATACAAAAAAATACTGGTGCATAAACGAACCACTAGGAAAAAACATTAAATAATGTTTTCGGGTACATAAGATTTTTTTGATTAATTGTTTTATCAGTTTTTAAAAATCCCAAAGCAATGTAAGATTTTAAATCAAATAAATCACTTCGCCATCAAAGAACATAAAAAATATTTCAAGCGAAGTTTTTCCAGAAAGCCTCTTTTTTAGTACCTCATATGATAGAAATTCATCGGATATAGGTGTGTGAGTGAGTACATTGACCTTTCTTCCATTTGACAGTAGAAGCAAGCCTGTCGTTTGTAGAAAGCATACTTCTTCTTTTAAATTCCAGGGTTTCATCATATGATGCGTCCTATTCAGGTTCAGCAGTTGATGAATTACAGGACTGTTGAAGGACAGCTGTATCATTCGGTGTACGTAACTCGAAAGTTCCAACTATATCAGTTGGTTAGTTCATATCTTCTTCGTCAGTGAAGGTATTCACGTCGGGTGGAATATAGACCGCGTCAATATATTCAGTAAATATTTTTTCAGGTTGTTTTTAGCATAAATTTACAAGGAATGGAATGCCACAATACATAAGAAATCGTAAATCCAAATAATACTTATGACTTTCATTGTTATTGCCCTCATCCATCGCGATCTCCTTCATAGCCGCCCCTAATTCCTTTTGAGTCAAAAACCTCGGAAATGCCATATTTTACGAACTGTAACGTTCGTAAAACTACTACTAAAGAACACGCTAATTGTTGGATGTTTATTCTACATGAGTTAACTTGTCTAAACTTGCAATAACAAAGTTTTGTTTCACAGATAAAACCAGTGGTGCATTCACGCACCAGTAAATATTTTCAAAAAATAAAGCATAATCAATATCGTACTTCCAATGTATGTTTTCTGCGATGTAATCTACATTCTATACACTTAACAAAAATGGCAATACAAATCCAAGATATTTTTTTTACTATTCTGGATTTACTTGAAAATGTGATACAAATGTATGTACCGTTTTCGTTAACTTTTGAAGTCATGTATAAGATCTTTCCTTTACACATAAATTAGTGATTTCTACGGTTTTATGTCCTTTAGTAGTGATAATAATAAAATTTCTAAATGGATGTGCAAAAATATTTCCTGGATGTGACAAAAATAATCATAGAATATAAATATTCAAACGTTGTTTTTCTAATGGTTGTAATAATTTAAAGCTATGAAATTGTCTGGTTATACGAAACTTTAAATTTTAGTATTAAAATGAAGATCTTTTCTTCGACATTATTTTATTCCTTCTTTTTTCGCTTAATAAATAAACACTTGTTTTACTGTAATATACAAAAACGATGCAATTTAAACACATGAAGTATCTAGCATTCGCTTAATAAAGCAACTATATATAAATAACTTGTACTTAAAAAATACCATTAGTATAAAATTTTATTGTTTACTGCGTTAATCTGTCATTTAACCTCATTTAGTTCAAAAGTTTTACAAAATTTATTTATTGCTTCCTAGTGCGGTATTTCCTTTAAGAAATCTCGCCTAATAATCAGTTTTCTTTTTTTTTATTCGATTTTAAAACACCCTAAATCATTTTAATTTTAAAATTGCTTGGCAATTATTTCAGTGTATATAGGTACAAAAGTCATTTCATGTCTAAATAAAAGACCATACAGTATTTTATCTCTAAGTACACTCTCCACCGGCGGACTATTAATGAAAGACCCCGAAGCTGGCGAAAAACAGATGGTGCTAACTCACCCGGCACTGTGTGGACTTTTCGCTTTCTGCATAATGAAAAACAGAACTTCGAAGGAAATCATTTAGTTCGTTATTGCTTTGTATATTTGCAGCTATTAGTTTAATTAATTTAGTTAACGAACGCGTGTTATTATTATACTGTTCTCTAACAATGAATAATAGCAGGCATTACCTTGTATTATTTTGTGATTAATTACGTGTAATTATAGCGATTTGCAAAAACGCCGAAAGAATGAAAGTTAAGGCATAAAGTTGAAAAAATACTACTGTAACATTGTTTAAAAAAGATTTTAATTCATAAATTATCGAATATCAATGTACAGTATTTATATAACAGTCTTTAGTAAAATCGGAAAATCATTACATAGAAATATTTACAGAGTCAATTAAAATTAATGACTAATAAGCGTTCATCAATTTGGTACACTCAATGTACTGTGTATAGTTATAATCTCTGACGATATTTACAAAATATATACATAAATAAATATTACACAGTAATCATTTTATCAGCTACCGAAAAATTTGAGATTCTTTTGCAACATCCATATAATATAGCAATATAATAAATCTCAAGATATAAAATCTTAGCGAAACAAGTTGAAACAGCCTTCGAAAATAGTAATCACCGCCCATTTTAAACAAAGTACGTCCTCGACTGGGGCTGGGAGTCGGGTATCGTGGAGTACACATGATGGGGATGTTCTGATCTGCAAGGGGGATACTGACTGTACTGAGGAGGCCTGCCGTTGATCGAAACGTAGCTGTGGTTTAGCTGCTCGGAACCATAATGCTGACTGCTGGCGCTGGAACCCGCTTCATCCTCGGTACTCCTAGCCGATTCCCCCGAAACGTAAGTGCTCTGCGTGGGCGTCGGCGTCAGCGTTGTGGTGTGAACCCCAGGCATAGCTTGATACTTGTACCAAGAGTCGTGTACAACGGGAGTAGCGCAATACCTAGGCGCCGGTTTGCATCTAATCTCTCCTTGCTTCTTTTGACGTCTCACCGATTGATTGTTGGTCACGTCTGGCATGGCATAACGTAGCTTTTCCCAGAATCGGCGCTCGCCCCATCTGGTAACGGTGCAAGCCCGCAACAACGCCCTTAGTTCTGGATCCATCGGCTCCAATGGATCGCCGCTGAGCACGCAAATCAAACGTTGCCTGAACGTGGTGCGCAGTGCTGCCTGCAAGGCTGTTCTGAACTCCGGTTTGGACCATTCGTTACTTATTAGGGAAGGCGAAACCACAAATAACACCCTCCGGGACGCATCGGCGGCGCCGACCATGGCGTCGGTAAGAAACGAGACGCCACTGATGAGATGCAGATCTCTGTAATGCAAACATAAGGTGTGGCCCGTCTGTTCCAGTTCGGACGCGATTATTTTCGACGCTAGGTCATCGTCTTTGAGACTGTATACCACGTAACAATCGTAGAGTTTATCACGGTCGTCATCGTCGACACGCACGCTCGATATGTCCTGAAAAATACGTACACCGTATTTGGAATGGGCCCACAGACGCACTTCTTGCCGAAACACGAACACTATCGCGACGAGCAGACAGACGATAATGACCGAGACGAGGGTGGCGGCTAGGAGCGGCACAAAGCTACCTCCAAACAACTGATTGTTCTTGATAATTTTATTTTGAACTACCGAAGTGGCGATAGCGTTCTCTAAATCTTCGCAGCGAGTCATAGCTACGGCTACTGTATCCGAATCCCCGGTGCACAGCATTTTCGACGAGTCGGTACCCGATGTTCGTATCCAGGAAGCGAGGCGACTTAGCGAGTCACAGTCGCACGACCATTTGTTCCCGTTAACGGTCACTCGGGGGTGGTAATCCAATTTTTCCTGTGTGAGCTGCAGAGGGGCGAAATCCGTTATTTTGTTCTCGTCCAAGTTAAGGACTTGAAGTTTGCTCATATTACGAAATGTCTGGTTGCCAACAAACTCTATTTTATTGTGGTCCAAGTAGAGTTCGTTTATATTGTTCAACTCGTTGAATTCGAAACCTCTCAATTCCTCTAGTTCGTTGTTCTCTATGTGCAGTACTTTCAACGAGGTGACGCCGTTGAATGTTCTGTTGTGCAAAGCTTTCACGTTGCTGTTGTTTAAATATAAAATTTCAAGTTTCTTTTTGCCGATGAAAACGTGGCTGCCTAGTTCGCCTAAGTCGTTCCCGTCGAGGTAAATCTCGGTGGCGTCCATAGGAATTTTTTCAGGGACCGTGTTGTATCCTGCGTTGCTACAGTCCACCACGTTGGACGACCACAAATGATCGTGGTAGCATGAACATCGGTCGGGACAAGTCATCTCGCAGTCACAGGCATCGAAGTCGCAGCAGTGGCACAGCGCGAAGCAATGGGTTTGGTATTGACACAAGAAGTTGGACGGCTTCAGCTTGAGCAAAGGCTGCGGTGGAGAGCCTCTTGAATGTGCCAACTCGCATTTTACGTCGTCTAGATCCAAAACTTGCGGGTACTGCCTCTGATTACTCAAGTGGTTGATCCTAAGCAACCACTCCATCTTGCAGTCACAATAAAAAGGATTTCCACCTATATAAAACTGGGGCAAGTCTCTGTCGTCAAGCACAGGAGTTAAACTTAGTGCCGCTAAGTCTAAGTATTTAATTTTGTTCCCATACAAAACCACCTTCTCCAATCTATTCTTGTTAATAAAAGTGTTAGGGGCTAATTCCGTAAGTATGTTGTTTTGCAGATACAGAGTTTCCACGCTATCCGGTACGGAGTTGCCGTCGAGACGAGTGATCAAATTGAAGCTCACATCTAGCATTTTGATGCTGAGCATGTTCGTCATGTCGTAATAATTTCCAAGTTCGGGAATTTTGTTGCTGTGCATGTCCAGCCATTCCAAACTGACAGGCAGGTGGCTAAAATCGAACCAGTGAAGGCGGTTTGCGGATACGTTCAGCCACACCAAACTCTGTAAATTGGTAAATACGCCGCTTATGTCACCGAGCTCGTTCGAATCTAGTCTGATTGCTTTTAAAGTTGGATTGCTCGAAAATGCACTTTGCTCGACGTATCGGATCCTATTCGAAGCGAGATTTAACACTTGCAACAACGGGAGCGTGGAAAAAGTGTCTCTCGATATATTCACTATGTGATTATCGACTAGCCTTAAGCCATAAAGCAGGTCTAGGCCTTCAAACGATGCGTTCGTAACCGATTCGATATGGTTCTTACCCAAATCAAGCGTCTTTAGGAACCTTAACTGGCCTATACCGGCGGGAACGCCGCCTAAAAGGTTACCATTCAAACCCAGGTCCTGCAGATTCGTCACGTTTTCGAAGGCTTTCGGGTGGATGTATTCAATTTCATTAGAATCTATTAGCAGCTGATTTAGTGCGTACATACCGCCGAAATGGTACGATTCGATGCGCACGATTTTGTTGTGGGACAATGTCAGTCCATGTAAATTTTTTAATTCCTGAAAAGCTCCCTCGGCGATGGTAGTGATAATGTTATGTTCGAGATTTAACATTTGTAAGGTGTACAGGTCGTGGAATAGGTTGCCGTCGATCCTGGAGAGTTGGTTGTTGCTCAGATTTAGAATCACCAGGCGCACGAGTCCCGAAAACGTGTCCCTGTTTACCCAACGGCTCGTAAGCTCATTGTTGGATAGGTCAAGGACCCGCAGCTGATCCAATCCTTCCAGCAATCCGGGAGCGAGGACGCTTAGCGAATTATTGTGCAGGTAGAGGTGCGTTAAATCTCGAGACGATTGGAATAATTCTGGTGGCAACGCTACTAAACAATTGCTGGATAAATTGACGGTCCTTAAAGCATTCAGGCCGACGAAGGCTCTGTCTGCGAGGGTGGAAATGGCGTTTTCTTGAAGAAACAGGGATTCCAGGCTGCGTAACGCCGAAAATCCATTATCTGGGAGAGATATTATATCGTTGTCGGATAAATCGAGCACTTCCAATCCGTTGACACAAGCGCGACCGGGAGCCAGAGGCCCCTTGCCCCAGTCTGATAATCCCAAAGTGGAAATATCTTGAAGTTTGTTCTTGGTCAAATTGAGACGTGTCAGGCTATAGAGGGGACAAAACAATTCTTGGGGAGTGTTCCAAATATTGTTGTCGGCGAGGTCCAAGCTCCTAATTTCACTCATGCCCCTAAAACTTTCCGGATGTAGTTCCAGTGCCATGGCCGACCATTCGGAGTTGTGCGACCGCAAAGAGAAACGACGTAAATGCCTGAGGGAAGACATCGCGGCGGCGGGTATGTGTCTCACCTTGCAATTTTCGATTCTAAGATCTTTGAGTTTTTTTAGAGACGCTAAAAAGGCGCCCTGTCTCGTTTCGAGCGTGCTTTCGAAAAATAAAGCGTCGTTGCATTCCAGCACGAGGATAGTCACGCGATCGGCATGCGATTGCGTTAAATTTCCAATAAGTGATTCGGCAGCATTTATAGTCCTAATTTGACAGTAGAGCACTGGTTCTTCTACGTTCTCGCCATCTTGCAACGGTTGAATCTGCCACTCGCAACCTCGCGGCGCGAGTTCCATACTCGTCAAACTTCTACCACTCACTATCACGAAAACAGCGCTCAATACCGTCAACGTAATCATGACTGTTATCAAAAATTACAAGCGATCACAAAAACATCACAACATCATAGAACTTTGTAGAGAGAACGACCGTTATTTTCACGACTATATCAGAGGGGAGATTATTTCGACGCGACTCTCACAACCGCCGAGTTCCCTACGACTGTCGTGCGGAAGACTGTTGCTTGGCGGTGGCGGAGTTGTAAGCTTGGTAAGCTCCGCCTCGTCGGACCCCACCACAGCCAAATATCAGGATCGCAGAGGCCTGTGAATGGAGGGCGTCACGTGGCCTTTGGAAAATTATAACAATGTGCAAATTGCAATACAGGTCCCCCACTTAGTTGGGTTTTTTCCCGTCTTGTGGTCGGTTTTGATTAGGACGTGAGGCCGTTCGGCAAATGAATGCCATTTTATTGTTTGTTTATTGGCGATCTACAGACCAGTTATTAGGTGTCTAAAAAATCACATTTCCTTCGGCCAGCGTGCTAAGTAGTATTGCAGTTGCATTTCCTTGTTTATGACGACAAAACAAAAATATTTTTCGTGATGTACTTGGTCAGTTTTATTAATTTTTTTTTATGCATTGCATTAAGTTACAAGAATTTGCAGGGCGGCCCGTTTACCTTGGGACCAGGGCCAGCCAAACCCTCAGTCAGTCCGCGCCCTGGTCTTTTGACGAGGAAAATAGTTTAACAATATAAGTAATTAAAATTAATTAATAAATTTGCAACTCATTGTCCGATCTCGCTGAAAATAAAATAAATATGAACTGTGGTACATAGGTTAGATGAAACTAAATGAATTGTGTAATTCCCTTAACTACAAGTTCGTATAAAAAAATCGTTTCAATTATAGATATTATTATTGCATATTCGACTCAACACAAACCGACGCAGGAGGAATGCAGAAGTTTTATAACAAGTACTACAGTAGCATGTGGAAGTTTCTTTGAAAAATTTACGTATATAAATGTTTTTTTTTTTTATTTTCGCTAAGAAATAAAAAATGTGTCTCCTAAAATGCTTTATTTAGAGACTACCTTACCATAATAATTTTGTTTCATAAAATATTATCTATGGTATTACATTTTTGGATCATTTTTTAAAATTTTTCCGTAAAAGAAAAATTAAATACTCGGTTGATTTCTTGTTGAAAAGGTTCTATTAAAAAAATATTTACATTTTTTGGGTAATAATAAAAATACGAGATGACGAGATCATTTTACAATTTTATCTTTTTTTGCCATTAATAAATACGGCAAGATTCACTCCGAATGTCTATTCCAAAAATTTGTAGTTTTTAATTCAATAATTTTGGATTATATAAAAGTTTTTTAAACACTATGTTAATCAAACAATAAAAAAAATTAAGATCGGTCTTAAATTTTATTATTTCCTGATTATCACACTGTTTAAAAAAGGTCGTAGTTAATTTAAAAGCTATATGGTTTATTTAAAAGGAAACAATTATCTAAACCACCATATTTCGAAAATTTAAAAAATATAGAACTTTATATAATTGTAGATCATATAAGATTATAGTAACAGTTTTTGTTCATTGCAAACCAATGTTTTTTTTCTTGATCATCGTTTTATTTTTCATTTTATTTTATCAACTCGTTTTAGCAATTCTCAAAATTACAAAATTTAATAAAAAAATCCCTTTTTACAAAAAGGTCGGTCCAAATGCAATTTTTGACAAAGTATATCTTGGGACAAACTTCATAAATAGATAGATAAATAAAAATAAAATATAAAAATGATGTTATTGATAGAACAACAACAAAGTTTTTATGTTCTTTCACACTGTCTGTATTACTTGGAAATTCAATGAAAAGATTTCCATTACAGAGAAGTGTTCGTGTTAGATTCAATAAGATTGGTTATCGAAATGCCTGTGGAATGTAAAAGTATATATCGGTTTGCGGTTAAATACGCTGTGTTAAAAATTTCGCCAAAATACAAAAAGTTTGAAAAAATATGTGCGTGCTTATTAATATATAGATATGTCATAGTTGCAAAACTTTTTTTCAAACTTGGATACAATGTGTATCCTTATGGACTTATTATATATGGACTAGTAAAACTAAAATTACCGCAAAATCAAAGATTCAAATATTATATGAACAACAAAAATGTTGCTGTGATTATGATTATTATTTATATTATTTTATTCCTTCCTTATATACAAGGTTTTATTAAGTTATTATAACTACTTCCATCCATCCATTTATATATATATATATATATATATATATATATATATATATATATATATATATATATATATATATATATATATATATATATATATATATATATATATATATATATATATATATATATGAAATAAAGCTTTTGCTATAATTAACAGAAATCGTAGATTCCTGTGGTAGATATTAGCCTCAATTAAGTTGAACAAAGTATTTCTGTATGAAATTTTGGGATTCTTTTTTTTGAATATTAGTCAATTGAAATGTAGATTGCAGAGGGTACTCTCTGGATAAAAAAAAGCTTTCTTTACTGTTGTGTACCTTAAGAAGAATTTTACTTGGAAACTCTGTATTTAAATTCAGCTGCATAATTTCTTTAATATATCGCCCTGTACTAATTTAGATTGGATATTTTAAAAGCTGCGAACTCAGACGACGGACTCTTTCTTCAATTTTTTCGACCAACTTAGTATAAAATTTAACGGAGATTCATTTAATTTTAAATTTCTTCCATGAAAATTTCAAATAGCGTCGTTTCGAGTTATGGCCAAAAGAAAATGAATAATTTTAAAGCGGTATGCGGATAAGGAGAAAAGAAAATTTGCTAACAAACCGCAAACGAAATTCTTCCAACGAAGTTAGAAAGAAATTTCGTCTTTATGTCATTAACCCTACTTTGTCGCAGAACCAGAATGATTGGATGAATTTATAAAATGCAAAATCTATTAACAGTTCATTGGTTAGTTTTAACTTGTATTTGTTATATATAGTAAATGTCAGTTATGAAGAAGTAAATAAAAAATATGCCAAAGTCAACCGCTTATGCTATTCTGATAGCCAGCTAGATACTCATCATGGGTTAGTTTGGATTTTCGAACAAACTTCTGCAACAAAATCTTAAATTTGTCCTTAAATTCAATGTTTGTAAGTATACTTTTCTTTTAGCATTATTTTAAAGGAAAAAAAAGAAAGAACGGTATAGCAATATTCACCCTTATAGTTAGTTGAGCAGCTATATTATTCGATAAATACATATTTATCTTTTTCCCTCTTTAATATTTTTGTGGTTTCAGTGATATGCCTCCAAAATGGTGCCCATTTTCTAACAATAATATATAATAATATAAAACTATCCTTCGGATGTCAGGAGCCGTCACGCTTGCTATGCTTTTTAGACTGCTCTACATGTAACAAGTTTTTATTATCAATCTTGTTTCGCGATCGAACATCGCTGTTCCAACAAAAAGACTTGACAGACGTTTCCGTGTGCTCACAAAGATGAATCCCCTAGTTTCAAGACAAGATTAAAATCTCCTCCGCGCGCGAAATGCACTTCTTGTATATTGATGTCAAACGTCAATTCAAGTTTATAACGTTGGTATAAAAATTATAATTGAATATGATTTATCGCTTTGTAAAAGCAACAGGTTGCAGATTGTCCGAGTTTTGATTTCCTTTTGTTATCTACTACCGCGCTTTTGCATACGTAGTTGTTTTGAATTGATTTTTTGATAATTTTAGATCTCCAACGAGTTTTGCAGCCAATTTATTTCAAGATTTGACAAAGAACATTGAGAAATTTTATTAGCATTCGAAACGAAATTTCCCACGAGCTTGCCATCTATCGGAGGGTAGCCGTATTACTTAGGTGAAAGTTTAATTTGAAACTACAATTATTGACGGAAAACTATTTTTCTCGCCGCTAACCAAAGAGGGCAATCTAAACAATCTTCTTTAACTTTTAAGAGCTCTACGAAAACTAAAAATTAAAATGAGTTTTGTATTTTTCGCAAGATGTCACGACATCTGTGTAAATTTACTTAAGAAGTTTTGGGAGGAAATGGTTTCGGACTGGCTGCTGATTTTGTATTTTGAAATGTGTGTAAATAAAGTCGTTTAGTAGTTTCGGTTAGTTTCTTAATGCGCAATTGCATTTTAAAGAATTTCCTGTATTTCCCAATTATTTCGTTATGAGAAATAACGTTAATATTGTTAAATTTGTGTAATCCGTTAATGATAATAAAGGTAGGGATCAAACCTTTCCTCTAATATTAAAAATATTATTATTATTATAATGTTAACAGAAACGAATCAAACGGTTTCTTAGCGCCATCTGTCCTTGTAGTTTGCAACGAAACCCAGTTAATAAGACGCGTTCGGGCTTGCCGGTGGTAAGATGCTAAGAGAATACATTAGATAATACGACCTCCTTGCCACAGATGGCGCGGTCCTTCAAATGAGACATTTTTAAGAAGTTTTACAAATTCCGGGCTCTTTGAACTGAAAGGTAGTTATCGTACTTTACTAATTTATGTTGTAATGACACCAGATAATGACTTATGCAACAAAGCATTAATGTTATTAAACATTTTCTCATGAACTCAATTTTGTTTAATTTTAGAGTGTCAAACTACAGCCTTCATATTAAATTTATCTATTATACCGGGTGACACAAGAAAATGGGAACACCCTGTAACTTTTAAACGGTTTAGCGGAAAGGACCTTAACTGTTGTATTTCCTTTTGCATTTTGTGTTTATGAGATTGTTCTAGGCTGAATAGCAACATTTTTCTCAATACCTTCATTATTTAAATTTGTAAATTGTATTCTAGCGGCTGTGGCAACAAATACTTATGGAAGTGACTGATGATGGGAAAAATTCTCAATAAAACTTTTCCTTTAGTGCGGATATATTTTTTAAAACCGGCACTTTGAACTTTACTTTTCAAATTATTTGCAAAACGTTATTGTTAAAATTGAGAAATCTCACGAAAGCGCCGTCTAAAAAAAGAACGATATGTTTAGAAAAATTATTTTAAAGTAGAGTATATACCCATACATACAATGTTTTTACTGCTTTCTCCGTATCGGAAAAGCATACAAACTTTTCACCAGAATAATACACTTCCAATAGTTCAAACGATCTTTCCACTGCACGAGCTTGCA